TATCCCCTGTGTGCCTTGTCGACTCAGTTGTATGCTATACGAAGTTATTACGTTTCTCTTTTACGTCTGAATTGCTCGTTAACGCATCCAAAAGTATGTGACTGTCCTTCGAGTTCATCAAGCCCTCCTTCTTACTGTTGATCTTAGATTCATCAGAATGTGTGCTGTCCTCTTCCAAAATTTTCATCAATTCTGAATCGGAAGCGATCGACTTCTCATCTTGATCGTCCTTCAGGGACAACTTCACGTCCGCCTTCGTCTCGACACGTCGCGGAATCTCCGAATCAGCATCGGTAAAACTTGCCGCCTTAGTTATTTCCATTACTGGCACGGGTTCCATGTCTATCTTAGGAATATCCATTTTCTCCCAATTCTTGGCCCAAAGATACAGTTTCGGATGATCTTTCTTCCTGTATAAATTCAAGCAAATTAGTCATCAAGAAAAATGCAAACATCATTTTTTTTTTTAGTAGATAAACTAATAAATAGTAAATGTAACTTACTGTGCCACGTTGATTTTTACACGTAGACTGTGAAGAAGTTGTTGTATTTGTAATAGCGCAGTAACCAAGTCATAAGAACGCTTCAACATCGCAGTCCTTTGATTTATCATATTCTGATTTCGCGTTCGATTAGGCAAGCTGTAAATGGGGAAAAAAAATCGATAAATAACATGAACAAAGATTACTATGTATAAGTATTGTAATTATAATCATACACATTCTATATGCAAACGTAAACATATTAAACAGATTACCTTTGCAACTTTCCTTCCTTAATCCAATCCTGATCGTGAAAGTATTTTTTAGACGGCCGTAGTCGATATGGATTTCGGCATATGTAGCAAATGTATTTTTCAGGAACATCCTTTTCCTTCTCGATGAAGTTGCAATGGCCGTGCTGCCAGCAGAGACATAGGTCGCACTGTATCATCAAACCGTCCTCTTCCATATAGCCACATGTGCAATTTATTATTTCTTCCCTCCGTAGCTGTTCTACTTTCACCAGTTCGCCGTTGATCATCATCATCACGCCTTCACTCTCTACGATAGGAAGTCGACACACATTCATATAAGACTTATAGAAAGACAATTTACAGTAAAGAGACACAGTGAGAGAGGTATGGTATCGAATGCATGTGTATTTCTTGCGGGCATATGAAATAAAACATAACACAACGAAAATAAGAAATCGGCAATACGTGAAACCATGAAACAAAGTCAATAAAGATTAAAAAAAAAAAAATAATGTACCTTCTGCATCATTATTAATATCAGTTTTGATTGTATCCCCTTTTAGGGGATCAGCTTTTTCAATGCGTGAATCATTTAGTTGACCTAAGGAAACAACAGAAATAATACAATAGTAAATGTCAACGTATATCTTGCTTTAAAGAATCCGAGGTTATCACATATATAGTTGCATTTAAATTAGAGAAAAAAAAGCATATATAAAATAAAATTTGCTCTCGTAACGTATTTCGCTTTGTAAGGTACGGCAAGAACGCTCGCACTTACTATTCTGGCTATTTTCGTCGCTCTTGGAGTCGGATTTTCTACGGCTATATCTATACATAAGTGCCGTAGGTCCTTCGACGTCCATAGCACTGTCGTCTAGATCACCGAAACTATCGGTAGGATCTGACATACCTATCCAAGGGAATATTGAATGCTGTGTATTATAATTCTCTTTTTTTTTAACTTAACAAAATTGTCTTAAAAATGAAAAAAATATATGAAAGCTTCTTACCGTGTCGTTTCTTCGCTTTAGCCGGCAAGTCCACGTTATGCTCGGTAACTTGTCGTCTTTTCTGACTTTTTCCGCGCTCCACATCGTCCGGAGGTTTCGCCCTATCGACTCTCTGTACCTCCGACGTCGCGATTGGTCTCACAGGCAACAGAGTTTTGATGCCGCCTTGAGCTTTTTCCTCTTTCACCTTCATGTCGAATAGTGTACCGGGGGACAACGCGCAGACATTCTCCCTCTTCTTTTCAGCATCGTCGTCTATCTCCATGCTGTGATTAGATATCGGTGACATCGTTTCAATTTTCATGTCCTCCTTCTGCGAATCGTTACACTTTTCCGACTGATCCATTTTCTCTTCTTCCGGCATCGCCGGACCAGGTACTGACGGAGATGTCGGTGGCATGGTGCTCAACGTTGATTGCAAAGTAGATGGTGATTTGTCAGGAAGAGACTTTTTCTTCGCCGATTTGTTTATTTTCTCCAAGAACGTGGTTGATTTTTTCGGGATTATATCTTCTATGGATTCCCCGATCGTTCTTGCGTAAGCCAAATCTTCAACTTTCGGGGTGGAGCCCAGAAACTTGGAATACTCGGGATGATAATGCTTGATATGCATCTGCAGCAGGTTTTCCTTTCGAAAATTTTTATTGCAGCCTTCCTTGGGACATTTGTAAGCGCTGTCCTCCATTTCCACGCGAAGTCCACCACGAAGTCCAATGAAGACGGCTATTTGAAAAAATATTAATAAATTATGTTATAAAACATATGTATAGATTTATATTATATAAATCTATTTTAAAAAATCACACATACACATATCTACTTAATATAATTTACATAATTTGCTTAATTTTGATAAATAGGAAGGTTAATTTATTTTCAGAAAAGCAAGAATATATAAGCTTATATTCGCTACACTTCGCTTCGTCTACTTGACCTTCGGTTGTCACACTTTACATAATAACCCCAGCTTTTTACTTTGAAAAATGGTTTTTTCAAAACTTACTTTCTTTAAAGAATGTGTTTTTCAATACAATGCCACTTTTAATTTTAAATTCTATACAATCAGAATACATTCTACAATGCTCGAACTCAATTTAAGAATTTTTACGATCCAACTAAACTGTCAATTTTTAAACAGCCTTTTAAAATCGATTTTGATAAATTGACCCCAAATGATAAACTTGAAAAAAAAGATGTGACAATCGAAGGTTAATTTTTTGCAAAAATACGATATCTACGAGTACTTACAATAGATCATCTCTGGCGAATTAGTGGAATGTAAAAGACATATTGCAAAGATTAAAATGTGATGCGGATTAAAACGTAACATATTGCAAAAATCTTACCACCGTCCGTAGTAGCTGTAATGGGCGTCGAGATGATAGGCATAGTGTTGTCATAGTGTGAGATGCTATTGTTCGGTATCGTCGTGAGTAATGCATTCTCAGGTGTGGTCGTTTTCGTTTTAGGCAACAAGGTTTTGATCTTCTTTGGTGTAACCTCCGGTGTAGAGTCATGCTTCGCGCGACTCGCATGGCTCCGCTTCCTGCGATGTATACAGAAGTCGAATTTCTCAGGATCGAAATCGTACTGCCCCTGATTCTCCATGAACGTCCTGATGTCATTTCTCGATCTGAACTTCTTCCCGGTTTGTTTACTTTTGAAGAGAAAAATATGATTATATACAAATTTAATGTAATAATTGCAATCGAATGAAATGTATGTCTTGTATCTTACTGAATGAACAGGACGTCCCATTTCCCAGCGGATGTGCCAGCTTTCCTTTGCGTGAAGTGCTTTTCCCAGCCGAGAGGCAATCTCTTGTCTGGTACTATTATAGATCGCCGTGGTCCTAGGATATAAATTTCATTTCTCTTTACTTTACAAGGCGAAAAATATTAGTAAATTATATATAAAATAAAATTGAACAATATCCGACTCAATAATTAACAAATTAATTAATAAGAAGTAAAGGGCTATGAGCCAAAGCACGATATTTAATAAAAGCTCCAAGTAAAAGTAACTTTGAATTATAATAATGACAACAAACGTTTCAACCCACATCGGGTCATTCTGAAAAAGGTACTCGTACTTACAAATAATCTATAAACAAAATTCGGTCATTATAACGGTCTAACAATATAGAGATGTGAATATTAATTTTATACATTCTAAATTATAAAATTACAAACTGAATCCAGTTTGTAATTTTATAACTTAGAATGTATATTAATATTCACATCTCCATACTGTTAGACAAGACCGAATTTTGTTTACAGATTATTTGTAAGTACGTTTTTTCAACATTGAGAATGAGCCGATGTGGGTTGAAACGTTTGCTGTCATTATTGTTACTTCAAAGTTATTTTTACTTGGCGCTTTTATTAAATATCGTGCTTTGGCTCGTAGCCCTTTATTTCTTACTGATATATAAAATATTTATATAGATTTATATAAGTTATTTTAAAAAATCACACCTCTACTTAATATAATTTACATAATCTGCTTAATTTTTATAAATAAATAGGATGCAGGAAGATGAGTACATTTTCAGAAGAGCAAAAATTGTTTTTTATTAAAACTTACCGTCGTTGCCATCCACAATGTAAGATTCCGTTCCTTGCGGTTCCCCATCAATCCACTCGGGACCGACGTTATCCTCGTGATCCGTATCGATCTTGGGCGCTTCCTTCTTGCTCTTCTTCGAATACGACTTGACTTTTGGGGTATTGGTGGTTTCGAAACCTTTCAACAAATCTGTCCCTGGATCGTAACAGGGGCCGTACTGAGTACCGTCCGTCTCGACCTTGCTCTCCGGTGAGCCCCCTCCGTTCTCCTTGACGACCGTCTCCTCCTTCTTTGGCGTCTTGTCGGCATCGTGCTTCGTGCGTCTCCTCGAGTGGGTGTTAAACAACTCCATGATCGTATGCTTCCGTTTCTTATCCCTCCTCTCCTGTTTGCTGCCGATGTATCCATCCAGTTCGGTCAATTGCTGCTTATGTAAAATTAAAAAAAAAAAATCAACTTACGAATCACGTCTGTGGAATGCAATACGCCAATATAAAAATCTTCTCGAATACACATGTGAGAATCTCAATTTAAAGAACTTCTGCGACACAGCTTGTTCCAAGTTTCTGCTGTGGAACGACTTTTTGCACTCTCATGATTTGTTGAGGTAATAATTAGCAGGTGATGCATAATGATGCTAAATCCATCGATAAAAGACACCGTTATTCGGCTACACCAGCTCGGGAGTCGAGTCTCGTCGAGTGGCTTAGAAACAACAACATAACCTCAATCTGGGGAAACCGTACCTTGGTCGCATTTCCGGCGATCTTGGTCATTTTCGACGACTTGACGATCTTCGCGTATCCATCGTCGAACAGCACGTTGTACCTGTCTGGAAAAAAAGAGATTCACTCAGGGATCACACCCCGCGCGCCACATTGAGAGATTGAGGGGGGAAGTAAAAAAAAAAACAACAACGTTGCATCCACTTGGCCCGTCCTCCGACGAGCCAAACGTCAAATCTACACACGGGAACGGGCCGAGTCTAGCCTCTTTCCCGTTCACGGCTCACGAGGGTTAGGTTAGGTGGTGGGCTTACCATTAGACAAGACCGCGCTCACTTTGGCTGGATACTTTTTGCCGTCCGCCCACGTAGCGAGTATCCGCTCGCCCACCGAGAACTCCCGCATCCTCGCCTCCCTGCAGGTGCGAAATCCTTGCATTACACCACGCGTGTATAACGGAACGGATACGGAGTATGTATTGTATGTATGTACTACAACGATGCGCGCGTGGGTTCAACGAGACACGATGGGGAAAACAAGTGGGGGTTGAAGAGAGGGGGAGAGGTAGGAAAAAATACGAGTCTCGCGCCGTTGGGGTTTCTCATTTTTCTCCCCCTCTCTTCGACTTCAAAAGAGAGAATATATCTTTGGCTCGTAGAAGCTCAATTTTGAGTCACTTCATGTTAGAGATTCGAATTCGAAAAGTGGATTCGACGTTTCGGTAAAAAAAAATTGTTACACACATTTGCACACACATACGTTATATATATATATATATATAATATATATAATATCGATAATGCAAGATCGATGAAAAAGAGCAGCGGAATGCAGTGGTAATTGTACAATGTTCATTCGTATCGGGCAACGCGCGCGAGACACGACGCAATGCATTAATTGGTGTTACACCATATTAAACAACTTAAAGAAATTAAAGTGTTCTACGCTAACCCACGTTATTCACAATGATGAATTATTTATTTTTCTTTTTTTTTTTTTGCTATGTTACAGATTTTTGCTTGCGTAACATAAAGGGATCACACTCGACGTACAGAACGAAAAGTGAACGTTTTATTTGTGTATTATCCATTGTTCGTGATATCTGGACAATGGACCGATTATCTGCCGTCACCCTTGCAAAAGTAATCAATATGGGGGATCTAAGTAGTTTTTAACTCTTGTTAATTGCAGCACGTAAACGAGTAAAGCAATAAAACTATCATGTCTACTATCAAGCGTTAGAACTATTCATTAACACAATTTTCACTTACGGAGAGAGCGGGATCCAAGCTTGTTCGCTTTAAAGAGAAAGACAAATCACAATAGCGTAAGATAAGATCTTTAGGTCTTTGAGATAGATAGAGATGTGAATTGAAGATAGAGGTGAATTAAATAATTTGTAGGAGTCACTTGACTTGTTGTTGCGACACTTTTAACGATTGAATCATTTCAATGATTAGTGCATACACCAACTTACTTCTGCGGGATTTGCAACACACGCAGCCTGGAGCTGTCCATCGGTATCCATTCGTCAAATCTCGAACTCCACTTGTCGAAGTGTATCAAAACTTCCCTCTCGTCCCAATCTGTCTCGACCACTTTTGCAGAATACCTGCGCGTAAAATATTAATATGTAGTTTCGTTTCTCTCCCATCCGAAGTTAGGAGCATAACTTCTTTTAATTCACATCTATCTTGTACGTTGCAAGCACTTCTCGTTATTGCACAATAACTTCTCACATCTTCCTCTGTTACATATTTTTTTATATTAAAATTCTGATACTTGCCACTTTTCATTAAAATCTTTCGCTTCCAATTTGGCACCGGGAAAAAATTTCAAACCGCCGCGATTCAAAATCTTGGGTTTCAACTCTTCCGATTTGTCGAATTCCTTGTTGCCGGACAACTTCAGTTCCTCCTTTGCCATCAGATCCTTGGCGCCGGTCTTCATGGCTGTCTCCGGTTCGACGATACCAAGTTGCATCGCCACTGTGTTCACCTTATTATCCGAATTTTCGGGCGGTTTGTCCTTCGCGGATATCTTCCTCTCTTCTTTCGGATTTATCACTTTGTATTCATTATCCGTTATCTCCGAGCTGTCAGGGAGATTTAAGGAATCCGCCGACGATTCAGGTCTAGAGTAACACGTCTCGCCGCAACTGTCAGATTTAGGTGTTCTCGCTTCAGATAACAACGGCGAGGCAGAATGCTCCAGATTTAGTATTTCCGAATTGATCAGGTCCAAATCTTCTTGAGCGTAAGATGTAGATGATTTCACTGACATAATAACAGGATCTGAAAAGGTAGGGACAAAATAATGATAATTGTTTCACATCTTGAGGAAAATTGTATATATGCAGTAAAGTTTAAATGAAATTTGTATCTCTCCATATTCTCTGCCGTAACGAAAATTACCAAAATAAAATAAAAATCCGATAAATTTATCTTAGGCTAAAATAAAATTATCCGATAAATTTATTTTAAGAAATTGTATTTTTCCTATAAGAAAAGAGAACGTTTTTATTCTCATGAAGCTAAACTGATAGGAACGCAAATAGAATGTCCTGAAATATCGAACGTTTTATCTCTTTAACAATAAATTCTTTGACGAATTTAAAATAAATTCTTTTTAAAAATATCGAAATATCGGTAAGTTTTGAATTAAGAAATTCGTTTATTTGTAAATCAAATTTCAGATGGAAATTAAATAAGAAAATCGCTTGTTTTCCAGCAAATTTCAGGTGGAATTTTCTTCAAATTTTATTTTGTTTTCATTACTTAGGAAAGATCTCTCATTGAAATGTCATGCGGCTCTTTTTTAAATACCACACATGTACGATGTCCTTTATAAAAGACAGTCCTTCAGGTTGCCTGTCCTTTGGATTAATTTATTTTTCAAAACTCAATTTTGTCTTTTAATAATTACGGGAAATTCATTTCTAATTAGCATTCCAATTTCTACTATACCAATGAGCGAAATTTTATGGAAACAATTGACAAATTTAGTAAAATGTAATGTAATTTGTTTTGTCTTAATTATACTTTTTCTATATAATTTTTTTTAATTAAACTTATTTAAATTAAATTCATTTTTACTATTTATTTAATCGGATTTGCGACGTGTATGTTACAGTAAAAGCATAAAATTGTACAGTCGTTGTACACACTTGCTGGTAAATATTGAAATTTTATTTACCATTATTTGAAATTTCAATACGCCTAAAGAATAAAAATATAAATTGTGTTTATTGTTACTGATAAAACTGTACATCTATCGGCAAGTGTATATATTAATAAAACACTCTGGTAAAGGTATACCAATTGTGATGTAAATTCACGCGAATTGATTTATTAATTGAATTGATCGAGCATAATTCAATACTTTCTCATTTGATTGAAATAAATAGACGAAATCAAAATGTATAAGGTCATTACATAATCTTTGATCATGTGGAATAAATGCTCGTTGCGAAACTAAACCAAGAATTTTTCAAAGGTCACGGAAAATGAATTAGTTAATAATTTAGCAAGATAGTTTTCGCATTTATTGCAACGCGATAGACTAGAACTGGCACACCACACTTTAAAGTGTCCATTTCATTTGTTAACGTTTTCCAGAATTCATTAGAATAGCGAGTGCATACACTTGTCAATATCAACTATTTTGGTTTTTAACATTCTTAATGTGACGATAGTATATACGTACAGGCATGGTATAGCGAACGACTGTACTGATCTCGTGCTTCTACGGTAAAAATAATGCCTCGCCGCACCGCGAGTATACGAGTACCGGCCTGTCGAGTTATCGCTGACGAATATTCGAACGTATCGCGGATCACACGCGATCCTATTCTCTCGCGAGTGCCCGCCAGCGTCGTCGAGCGACGGTGACACTGTCAGACACACCGGCCTGCCGTCGCGAGACGAGCGTAGCTCGTGGAACTACCGGCATAACGCCGGTGCGACGTGACACGTTTCCTCGGCGAGTTCTCGAAGAGGCTGGCGCTCCTATACGCATCGAATACGGAATAGATGACGAGAGGAGAGGCTAGGCGAGGGAGGAAGGGGAGAGGAGGAACACCACGGGGAGGACACGCGGTGGCGCGAGGCAAGGGAGTGAGAAGAGGGAGGGGAGGGGGAGCGCGCGCGCGCGCACACGCGAGAGAGAGAGAGAGAGAGAGACGGATGCGCGAAACGCAACTACGTTGCGTTTTACGCCCGCTAGACGTGCACTTCGCTCTCGCGGCACCGGGCGGACGGACGTGCGTGCGTCCGTCACCCCTTTGTCCTCTCCGGTCTCGCTCGCTCTCTCTCTCTCTCTCTCTCTCTCTCGTCGGCCGCAGCACCACACGTACCGGGATGATCGTCATAGTCCGCGAAGACGGTCGGCACGCTGCCCCTCTTGAGCAGGAGCTTGTGACCGCCCCGCGCGGCCTCGTAGTCGGCACGTTTGAAATGCCTATGGCAGACGACCTGGCCTGGCGTCGGCTTGAAGCCCGCCTCGAAGCCGCCGCTGGCCAACCACCTGTCCCTCAGCGCTGAGTCCTTGGGGAACTTGTGCAGCGGCAGTCCTTTGGCGCGCGCCTCCCGCACGTCCGCCTTGCAGCTACGCACGCAGCATTTGCGCGCCATTCCCATCGCCCCCGCCGCCGTCGCCGCAGCCGCGGCCGCGGTTACGGCGGACGATACCCTCCTCCCTGCCGCACGCGAGCGCGGTATACGCCGCTTCATTTACAACTTACACCGCCGGCGCTACATAGCGGTGTAGCGCCGCCGCCGCCGCCGACGCCGCCACCCGCGGCGGACGGGCACGTTCCCCGCGCCGCGCGGAACAACCGGGAGCGGTGCGGTTTCCGCGTGCGGTACACACTCGCGGTACTCGGTGAAGACGTGAAGTCACACTGGTCCGCAGTCACCGCGTGGTGGATCGCGCGACCTTACCGCTTCGCGCGGGATGCCGCGAAGCTCTCTCTTTCGCTCTCTCCCTCTTACTCCGATCGCTCGTACGTACGCGAGTCGCGCGGCCCGCGCGCGCTCGCTCCGCTCGGCTCGGTGCTGCGGCGCGGGTCCACCGCCGCCGCCGCCGCCTGTCCCAGCCGCTGAAAAACACACCCCGCGAGACGACCGCCCGACCAAGCGTTTCGGCTACACGCGCGACACTGATCAACCGATCGATACGGCAGCATCGAGCAGCCGGAATCGCAGCCGATGTCGCCGCGGTCGCCCGCGACTCGATCCAGTGGCGCTGCTGTCGGGCGAGCGTGCGCAGAGAGGTGAGGATCGGGCGGGGCGTGGAGGAAGGAAGATCCGCCGTCACACGTGTGCGTGCGTTGCCTCCGTTCTACCGTAAAAATAATAAAACACGAAGCGTCCTGTAATAGAAAAATAATAAAATAAAGTTGCCTAATGTAAAAATAATAAAATGTAGGGCGTCTCTCGGCCATAGTTGCATCATGAATATTATGATCGCGTAGATGCTCTCCAAGAGGATCACGCGTTCCTCGGCGAAGACGAAGAGAACTCTGCTCGTGTGGATTATACTACTTGCTACAACAAAAAGGCCAAAAGGGTCGTTTAAATATGGTAAAGTTTATTTAATAACATCACAGATACAATAATTATGTACATAAGAAAGCGCCAGCATTTTTCGGAGCTGTACACTTCCGTCTCTATCTCACTTGTCAACACTGTAAGCACTGAAGTACTAAGTTTCGGGGGGGAAAAAAAAGGTGCTGCGTATGAGGGCGGATATCTGACGACTTCGGACAGGGATAATTCCGCTCCGAGTTACGAAATCGTTAATAGTTTAAAAATCATCCGGAATCTCCCGTCCGGGGGGGGGGGGGTAGTGGAGGGAGACGCGTTTCTCATCTCGAGACGAGGGAAATTTGGTTGATCACCTTCCGAACGCGCGGGACTTTTTTCGCCTCTCCTTTCAACGACCGTTTCCGTGTCTCTCTCTCTCTCCGAAGTTATTATAGGTTGTCCTCGGACGAGGACAACTTGTCGAATACGTAAAGTTTCAGTTGAGCGTCGTGCCTCTGCGGTGGCGCGGCAGAGTCGGGCTTCGCCATTTGCGAGGCACATGGAGGATCTATAGTACGGGGTAACAGAGTACGGTTGAGCTCGGCCATCGAGGCAGTTGGGTCCTTCAGGGGTAGGGTAACTTCTCTTAAAGAGTCCGTAGGTGAGGGAGGAAGCACCACTTTCTCGGGAGCATTTTGAATAAATATCACCCTGGAACAGCACACAGTTTGCATACGTAATCAGTAATCCGAGGGACGGGTAAAAGAATGATGGAGGAACTGGGAGGGGGAAAAGGGGAGGACGGGAAGGCAAGAAGCCCAAGTGCGGCGTATCCCTTACCTATTAAATGCTCGCCACTTTCTGCACAATGTAATGTACGCTTTGCATTGGATATACATAAAGACTAATCCGCCAGTGGAACCGATCACGACGACAATCAATTTGGTCCAGAAGGACCAATCGACGAATCCGCGACGGGCCTCCTCCACGGATCGTTCGACGAGCACGTATAGGGACCATGCCACGCAGAGCGCGGCCACGGCGTGAAAAGCGACCGCGCACCACAGCTTCCGCACCTCCAGCGCGGACATCTCGAGCTTCTCCCACTGCAAAGACATTACAACGTTTAACACTTTGGCGTTTGACGAGGACGTATCTCTCGTTCTCGGAGAAAATTCCCCTCCCCGCGGCGGAAGAAATTTCACCTACCTCGCAGAACGGTTTTGTCTTGGCATGCATGATAAATGTGAACTTGCACAACTCGCAGGCGCGCGTGTCCGAAGCTTTTATCCATTGTTGAAGGCAAGCCTGATGCACGTAGCGCAGACTGCCGCTGCAGTAGCACGGCGCCAACAAAGGGGCGCCCTCCTCACCCTCGCAGTGGCAGATCCTATTTAACAAAACGCGTAAGATTTACTCGCAATGAAGTGAAGATTGTACACGTGTTTACAGCTATTAATGGTACGACGTACAATCGTGTAATATGACGATAACGATATACGCGACGTTGTTATAGTTCATTTACCTGCAAATATCATGGTTGGTCGAAGATAACGTGCTTACGGACGAGTGGCAATCATCTGGTATAATAGTAACTACTGTACCGTAAGCGAAATTCTGAAATAAGCATACTTCTGTGACTCACGACAGGAAGAGGTCACTATCAAAATGTCCTTATCTTTCTATACAATTTATGTCCACGTATAAGTACTTTTCAGATATGTTATCGCGATACATTAATAATCATCAAGGTGACATAAAATTGTAATATCCAACAATAAGAATAAAATATTTCGTTTTGAAACGACGCGTTTGATATCTTTGCTCTTGCAATATTGCCTCTGTAATTGGCTTAGGTATAATTTCTTTATTTTGAAACACAATATACGAGGTGTTTTTTTTTATTAACTTCCTTAAACTGCGGATTCTTCAATCTCTATTTTGAATTTCTCGTTAACAAAATATCAGAATATTATTATGTGTTATTTCTTCGCTATTCATTTTTAATCAAAATTATATATCTCTAAGTTAGAAATTTTCTTATTAAAGTAAATTCTTCACTTGAAATTAACTGAAGATTATAATTTTATTTTATTATTCTTAAAAAAAAAAAACTTATTTCTGTTGCATAAAGTAGCTTAAAATTATATTTAGTAAAACTGATGTTTCTATAAAAGAAAACTCGACACAAAGATTCTGCAGTTTGTAAAAAGTAAGTACACACAGTGAAAAGACATTTTATATTCTCAATTTGATGAAGACTCAAAAAAACTGTGTAAAGTATTGCGCAAGTTAATTCTCAAGCAAGAAATGGTCACCTGTGGTATCCATTCTGATAGAGCTTCTCCACTAGCGGGACTCGTATTATTGGAAGGACCAATTGACAATGGTGGTTGCCAATCAGGCGGATTAACATTGATCTGATGAACCGGCATTACTCCTCAACCCTCACCAAATGTAGTAAACACTGACAATCAAATTTGATTAAATGTATCTTGGATACATGATTATTATGTTCTTTTTTTTGGTAGTGTCTCGATGCCAATCGCAGTATTATGCGTTTATTCGTATCTCTCGAACATCATTTTGTCCTTTAACATCAATAATGCGCCTGAAATCAGACATTCAAGTGTTACGTTTATAAACAGATCTACAAATAGAATGCTTAAAGTTATTTTGTAGAAAAGCATTACATACACAAAAACACACACACACACACACACATACATACGCACACGCACAAATTATCCTACAAGATAAACATCTAAGTGCAACTTCTTTACATAATTATGTAATAACTACAATCTGTTTGCAGGAGCAACTTTTATGCATATGTACACACACACACAAAGCCCACATACTCACACATACATACGTATGTTTACGTATTCATTTTGCCAGTATGTCTGCCAACTTACCAATATTCAAGCTATTAACGTCTACTTAACGAATGAATAATTAACTCCGGATTAAAACGGATCCGTTTAACGATACTCAGACAACAGTTTGTCAAATTAAAGACTAAAGGTTCGAAATCGAGCATAATTACGAATATGTCAACGATATATCTAATGACATTTGGCAAGGTTAAATGCGGTAGACAATAAGTTTTTCTTGTTTTTTCCCGAGAAAGCTTTATGGAAATCGCGAGAGTTGTTGCGAGACAAGTCTCAAGAGTCGCCCCGCGACTCGCGAGAGCGAGATCGGAGGAGCGACAAAGGTGACTGGCGTGTGTCGCGCTGCGTCGCAAATCCCCCTCGCGTTTCGCGCGGGCGAGCGAGCGGGCGCGTAGAGAGAAGGAAAAAAAAACGCTCGTCGATATCGGCCCGACGCGAGGGCGAGAGAATTTCAGCGAGACACACCACGGGAAGTAGAGGAGAAGGAAAACAAAGCCGCACACCGATACGTCGCTTGTACATGCACACATACATACACGCTTTCGCCCTCCTGCGGTCGGCCGTCGTCGTGATGTTGTTTGTCGCACTGCCTTGCCGTCGGCCCCCGAAGTGAGCGACGACGGGGGAGGTCCGCCGGGTGGCGAAATTATTCGCGGACCGTTTTAATATTACTCGCAACCCAACGACGAGGAGAGGAGGGGGTGGGGGGCGGCGGTGGCGGTGGTGGAAAACGGGCACGGCAGATTTTGACACTTCGTCCTGAGTCAATGACACGGCTACCAGGAGAGGACCGCCGCGCTCTTCTCGGTCACTCTGTGTGCGTCTCTCTCTCTCTCTCTCTCTTCCTTGCCTGCGTTGATTCCGCGTGTGCGCCCGCGCGCGCGCGCGCGCGTACGTGCGTGCGTGCGTGCCGTGCGTGAGTCCGTCCGTCCGTCCGTCCGTCCGAAGTGGACTGCTGCTGCCTGGAGTCGGGAGAGCGGAGTCTCTCCTCTTAATAATCGCGTGTCTCGGCGCTCCTGGCGTCGTGCACGTCGCAACACCGTCGCGGTAACGCGCTGACACTCGCCGCAATAACTCGCGAGACGACGAAACGACGACCGTCCTCGTGCGCCGCCGTCCTCTTCATCGCAGAGCGCGCTCCGCGCGCGACACTCTTCTCCTGACACTCCTCCACGACCCGCGCAACACAACAACACGGCTGATGAAGGCAAGCGCGCTGCGCGTGTCGTATGTATACCCTCGCGATCGCGACCCGTTCGTCTGCTACTACGCCGCCATTGGCGTGACGTAGGCGCGGCCTTGGACGCGCCCGGCCAATGCGGGCCGCGTGAGCGCTGCCGGGTAACGTCTCGCCAATAATAGCGCGGGACTTTGAAAATCCGCTGCGTCCGCGCTAATGCGCCCGTGTGCGTACGATATGGAATGTCTTTTTATCGCCGACACACACACCGGAAGTTTCCGATTACTCGCCGTATCCGATAAAGATATACCCCGCTCCCAGATATCGTTTATCTCGTATTAAAGAGTTTATTTGTGAAATTTCCATATACCTTTGATCGCTATTTATAGCGACGAGCGTCCGGATGCGAGTCCGATTCGCGCGAGGATTTAATAGCAGGAAATTGAGAACGTTTTATTCTACTCGCAAAGGATGAAATTTCATTGAGATAAATTCTGCACTTTTAACTTACTCGAAACTCCTACAGCAGTGCCAAAGAAAAATGATGTTATATTTATCATGTTCATTGTCTCTATATTATATATTTTTATTCTCCTTTTTTCGAAAATGTCGAAGGAATCACTATAGCTCTTTAAAATGGATCTTATTATTGAAACAGGATTAATTGCGCGTTGCTGTGTGTCTACGCAAAGACTGCCAAGTAATTCTCCTACAAGAGTTAACAGGGCTATCTCAAGGTTGCATACCATAACTAATGTAAACAGTAAATATTTACAATAGAATCACTTCTGTGTAAGAAAATGTATATACATACATAATGTGTGTATGTGTGAATGTAGGGTGATATCAAGTAATGTAAAAGATTTTAAGGATTGATTTTTTACACAAATTTAAGACGAAAACTTCATATGTTCGAAACATTACTTAATATTCACCCTGTGTGTATGTGTGTGTGTCTCATATATATACACTGCATATGTGTTGCGTATGTACAGGGTGGATGTTAAGTAATTTTTAGTATTTAAAGAATCGAAAAGATTATCTGTATTTCTCTTATTCTCACTCTCTGTCTATGTGTGCGTGTGTGTATGTATTTAAAAACACTCAAATTGTATAGTAATAAATTTAAATTTTTGATTTACATAATTATTCTGAAGAATTAGTTAGCCTAATAATTAAATAAAAAATTTTTAGTCAGAAAACCTGCCTTTTTAAATTTATTGATTTGTACATCAGGAGATAGAATTTAAAATAAAATATAAATTAGCGTTGAATATAGAATATGCAAGATGAAATATTCATAAAAAATATACAGAACAGTTTGTTTGTTAATAATAATTATATAAGCGGTTACATCGTTTTGATTTTATTGTTTTAGAAATTTCTCTTAGATGTAGCGTGTACAAAGAGACAGGTCAAACAGACTTACAATTGTCAATTTGTATGTATAATTAAAATCACAAGATGAATACAAAAAGGTATAAAGTAGTTTGTAATAATACTTAAAGATATAAACGAGTACAAGATTTTAAAGTTATAGATGTTTTACAAGTTGGGCATTTTTTGGTTGTACGAAAGAATGTCTGCAGGCATTCTGAGCAAAATAGATGTCCACAACGAGTGGTAATTGGTTTCAGATTGGATGACAGCGATTCGAAGCATATCGGGCACGTTAGAGCTACCGCTTCTTTATTATCCAACTCGACGGTGTAACACGTGTTTTTGTCTTCATCCACAGTATCATCGAGGGTCAAAATTTCATTTGAGCTGGTACTATGAGACACCTTCGCTTTCTTTTTAAGGTGCCTCCTAAAAAACACATTTTTAATTATTGACTAAATGTATTCTATTTTCCATTGAGAAACAAGTCAATAAGGATAATATATACAAACATTTGATTATCCAGCATGCTCCCTAAAACCATAGGAGATAAGTGTCTTTTATGATTATGATTATTAAGATGATTATCTAAATTAACGGTTGTATTATGGCTAGAAGATACACCGGCATTTCTCTGTCGTGATCTTAAAGGTCTGAGTGATCTTGGTGAGTCTTTAGTTAAATCGATAACATCCACTATGGTGGGCGACGATAAAGTTTCCGCCGAAAGGTCCACAACTGAAACATCTTCCATTTTGTATGTGCTTTCTAAATTGCCCATACAATAGGTGAAGTACTACCTATCTGAAAATTTTGATAATATAAATTAGGATATTTGATTAAATTGATTTCATTCTGCAATTATTGTAAAAACATCTAATTTTAATGTCTAATAATATTTATAGTTAGATATAATTAAACATTTAATTATATTATCGTTATTTAAGAGGTAAATCGGCCGAAGCTTTATGTGAAATATATTTTTAGTGGTTTTGGTATTTATGACGAAAAGTTCATGTGACGTGTATAGGTTACATTGCATGAAACAATTATATATCATGGCCGATTACACGTTTCTGCGAAATTCCCGCAAATCAAGATAAACAGATAGCGTACGCGTTAACGGATATTTGGTTATATATACGGTCAAAGGGCACATACCTATTCTGGAGAAATTATTTTTTAGAATTTCCAGCAATCTACAGCCGTTCCTTCGCGCTCATTTAAACAACGTTTTTTCGAATCAGCTGTCTCCCAGGTGACGAGACTGTCCTTCTCTCCCTGTCCGCGGACTGGCGTGCCGCGTGACCAGGCGTGACTCTGCGCCCTCTTGCCGTTTGTTATCGTTTATTCGTTTATCGGAGTTAACCTACAAATTTGTTTTGAGGGGGAAAAAAAAAGGAGAGAGACAGGAGTTGAACTATATTGACTTTGAGGAGAGGATTCGTGCGCGACCCACGGACTTTGGTGGACGTCTGTAATCAAGTGATTTTACGTTCTGAAATCTTCGCAACTTTTTAGTATTTCTGTGCTTTCGCATTAGTATTCACTCATCACTGCTCATCACGTCTTAGTATTGCATTATTCGACTGAAGAATTCTGGGCGTATTAAACCCCGTATAGGGGGTAGGTCCAATAAGAAAAGAAGAAGAAAGAAGAAGACTTTGAGGAGAGCATAAAGCAAGAAGATTGGCTGACGCTAGGTAGTATATTTAGATTTGTTAAAAAGATAGGCAGAATATATAGTAAGAGGGTAAAAGACTATACCTAGAATAAGTAACTCTGTGTTATAGAACCCTAAGGATTGGGTTGAAGGCATTGAAGGCACACAAGTTTTCCAACCGGGGAACATAACCTCCAAAAAAAAAAATTTGAGGAAAAAAGAACACGAAGGTCTACATTGCCCCGAGTTTATTCAATTTTTCCGCGACAATGGAGCGGAAGCACGGAAAGACGTCGGACGACAAGGAAAAGGACGAGGAGGAAAAGCCCGTGGTGCCAAAAACAGCTGTGGACCTGCAAAGATTGAAGCTAATGAAGTTGATGAAGAACGTGGTAAGATAACTGCTCATCGAGGCTGCCGGATCTACTTTATTGATCGGCGCTGTCGATATCGGAATCGTGTTAATTCGCGTTTCTAATTGCAACAGGACAAACCGATTGTACTGCCGGAACGTCCGAAGGCCAAGAACACGCCCTCCGTACCAGAATTCGTTCGTAACGTTATGGGCAGCAGTGCCGGAGCGGGCAGCGGAGAGTTTCACGTGTACAGACATCTGCGACGTAAGGAGTATGCGCGGCAGAAATTTATTCAGGAGAAGGCGCACAAGGTGATTATTATTGCACGACATGTATGGACATCATTGGCGTGTTTTTTTTTGAAGAACGATGCATGCACTGTTCATCTATTCTCTTGTTTTCGCCGACGTGAAGAGAAAAAGAGGGAGGATGTAGAGAAAGTGTCAAGAAAGTGCATGCACCGTCTTCAAAAGAACCTACCGCATGGCTGCGTTCCACTTAACGCTCGCAACGCGCTTGGAATCATTTAATCCGTGTTGTTTATCAAGTGTTAAACATGAATAAGTAATGCTCGCGACGCTCGCATCAAGTAGAACGCAGCCCATGTTGTGAACGACAACAGAGTTGTCTAAAGAGAAATCATCGATTTTTTTCTCATTCTAAAGATGACTTTTTCTTGTTAAAATTATAGGAATTCTTGGACGATGAATATCATAAGAAGTTAGAGGAGAATAAAAAATTCGCAGATGAGGCAACGGCGAAGAAGCGCGCTAAAAGACAGAAGAAGAAGCAGGAACGCAAGCAGAGGAAACGTATGAAAGGTAAGAAGGACAACACTGTCGTGGAGGAAAAGCATAGTGAGAACGACAGCTCGGATGAGGATGAGGAAGAAACTGGGACTGCGAAGAGTAGTGAAGTGACTGAAGAAAATGACAGTTGTCCTGAGAACGTGTCTACAAATGAAGGTGAAACAAAAGCAGCAGCAGAAAAAGAATCGTCATTACGTGCGGAAGAAAGTCAAGAGGATACGTCAAAGACACTATCTGAGGTATCAAATGAAAATGTTCAATGTGAAAATGGCACCTGACATGTGTATTAATTTTGCGATATCTTGTTAAACTTGAAACTGAACTGATTTAATGTATTTATGTCAGTTTACTCATCCTTGACTAGAATTCTATATTGATATTATACATTATTATAAGAGTTTCATACATATTAATATGCAGTTTTTTTTTTAACGAACATTGTTAAAATAATTTACACATGTGTCGTCAAGATCTTCCTTTTTCTATTAGTAAAAAATTATAAATTGCAGTAAATAGCTGGTAGAAAGAAATATTGGAAAATACGTTGCATTGCTTTATTTTTCATCGTTTTAATTGTACAAATTTATATTGTAGAGGTAATGGCATCTAGATTGTCATAGCGGTTAGTTTTCTCGAATATATTTGCCAGAGATTGAGCGATTTGTCGTTCTTCGACGGAACGTGCATTCCTCACATGTTGCTCCAGTTGAGCTTTTGCCTTGATGAAATCTCCCAGCTTTTCAGGCAAAACAGTCTCCTGCAACAAGATTTCCGTGCACAGAATTACAGAATTACACCCCAATTTATGTATGATTTAATAATTTTATTTTGCATAACCATATACCTGAAATTGCTTTATGAAATTGGAAATTTCTTCTACATGATCGCCAATCTCGATCCAAAGACTTTGCAATTCGGATTTTTCTGTACAGGCAGCGATGCGACTAAGAGTAAGGCACAACTGAAAAATATATATTCTACTTGTTAAAAATAATAAATAATAATTAAAAAGTATATATACATTTATATACTAATTCCAAAAATATTGTGTAAGAAAACATACTTGTTGAATCAACGCGTCTCGATGCGGATATTCAACGTAGCTTGGGACATGCTGAGCATTTTCAAACGCCAATACGATACTTTTCCACAACATTACAGTATATTTGCCGTAATAGTTACACGAAGACAATGCCCATGCGGCGTTGGTGCGCACTTTAAAATTTGGACTATCGCATATCAAAGTGGAAAGCGCTGGAAATACTTGATCCTATAAACATATCCAATTTTACACATTTATTTACACAATTAAATTCATTGGCCATTTTTTTCCAAGTACGTACTTTCCAAGAAGATGGTAATATTGCATCTGGATCGTGGCTCAGAACCAATCCTAAAGCTCGGCAGGCATTCCATCGTACCTAGTGTCATAAATAAAAGATTTATTTTTATAGCGTTAAATAAATTAAGAAATATTTAAGATACTTTGACATATAGATGCCGAATAATAAAACATTTGATGCGTATTAAGCAATCGAGAGACAGATTGAGATAAGTTTGATTGATAAATAAATGAAATTATTTTATTATAAGTTAAAAGATATACAATTATAGAAATTAATATATAATAATTATATCTAAAATTATCAAGCCTTTTCTCTTACTTTCATATCATTTCCTAAAACAGCACATTTGATAAGCGCATCCAATCCCAATGTCGTATCGGAAAGTATATGCTTCTGTGGACATAGATATAAAATAGTTCCAATCGCTCTGACAGCGTTACACTTCACTTTATCGTTGTCTTTTGCCGCCTTGACGCTTATAAGATATAGTTTGGGTAATAAATCTTCTAAAGGAAATGGTTCCACCTCTTCATGCTGTCTGGAAAGATTTATAGAATATATTTATATACATAGAAAAGATGTATCGCATATAGAATGAAGGAGGTCTGAAAGACATACTTTTGCCTGGAAAGACAGTCGCACAAGTTCGCCAATGCCCAAGCGCTTTTCACACGAACCCCGAGATTTTTGTCCTCAAAAGCTAAACAAACTGTATCAGCCAGATCCATGAGGAAGCCGGTATCGTGCTCCAGTGCCGGTAAAGTCACCAACATCCCTAACGCACGTAAGCCGGCCGCTCTCACGGCACTTTCTTCATCACGAACCGCTCCAAATAGTATTGTAATTATTAATATAATTTTTTGCCTCTGCAAATATAAACGAAAGTAAATGCAAGCAAAATATTGGAGATACGCGATGAAAAATATTTAGCTAACAAACGTCATTTTTCTTTAGCAAATAAAAGCTCGAAGCAATTTACGTTTGGAACGTACTTGCTAAAAAATGACGTTCGTGAGCTAAGTTGTTTTGAAAAAAAAAAAAAAAAGTAAAAATTGATATGATTATAGCCTCGTTATCCCGATTATTCTTACCGACAATTGTATTAATACATTTCCACTGATGCTACCCAGACAATCGCAAGCGGCTTCTCGCAATATGGTTTGCGATGTTTGGGCGAGTGATATCATAGGGTCAAATATAATGTTCCAAAATAGTAAACCGCTGCTATGATAAGTCTCGGTTGCGAGGCAGCCGGACATAATCTCCAAGACCCGGCATGCGTGCAGTATCACTTGGCTTTCCGATTCCTCCATAACCGAAATTAACGTCGTAGTCACGTTCTCCAAATGAGGAAACACAAGGCTTCCTGTGTTAAACGCCAATCTGCCCATGAGTTTTAAAGACTGAAGTCGTACAGGTGTATTGACCGACTAAAATGGCACAAAAAAAACAACGTTAATTTTTTCAATTTGAAACTGGCAACCGCTTTAAGCTTTAAATGTAAATCGCACGTCACCTTATTAGAAATATTTCCTAAGCACGTGCGAACCAGCAAGCAAGCGTTTTCATCTTTCGATGTTGACGTGCTCTCGTTACAGCTGTCTGCCGAATTTTCGACATCTTCGATATCTATTTCCTCCTCTTCCGTTTCAACGTCATTAATTGAACTGGTATCGAACCGCGACCTTTCCGATTCGATTCCACCCACCGTCTGCCTGGCTAATATGCTCAATATTTCCTGAGTGATGGGTTCGCTCGAGGCGAATGCTTCGAAAATGGACAGCGCCGCGACACGTACGGTCGGATCTGAGAAAATAACTTGGTTGTAATGACAATAAATAAATTAAAAAAATCATGTAGAATAACAGAGGCCAAGAGCCACGTACCTTTGTGGAATATGTGCGGTTTGCAGTTCCTAACTAATTTGGTAGCCAAGCCCGGCTTCAGTCGCTCGTACGGTGTGCCCTGTACAAGAGCCGCGGTGCACTTCAACGCGTGCGTTAACACCGCTACATTTTGCTCGGCGAGCAAAATTAACGATAACGTAAAATGCAATTCCTTGACCATTAGGCATACTGTGCCGAAGAACGTGATGAAGGAGGTGTGATTGGTGTCTTCGGCATGTATTAGAAATGGTTTAGCACCTGTCAGCAGCTCGGTCAATGTGCTCAATACATTCTGCCGTACTTTCGACGTAGGCTCGACCAATATGCTTCTCGTCAGTACTCGCGCGTCGTTTCGCGAGCCGGTGGCTACGATTTGCGGCCAGTATCCGAAGATGTCTCTGCTCCGAGTGAGCGCCACGAGGGTCTGCAGCAAACGTACGGCTCCCAGCCTTACTTTGGAATCGATATGGATGGAATTGTTGATCTCCGTATCCGAGGTATCTGACTCGCTGGAATACTTGGCAATTCCCGCGTGTTCCGGAACGGCATTATTTCCCGTGTCCGGGGGCGTGGCCTTCGGCGTCCTCTTGGACTTTGCCTTGTGGTTTTTGAGATTCTTGCACTTGGGAATTACGTGAACACGTTCCGGGAGATTCATCGCAGCCGGACGAAGTGACTGTGGCGTCGCGACGGAGTAGCCTTTGATGCCGTAAAATAGGAACGCCTGCACCACTCCTAATATCTCGCCGGTGAAATTGGACGAGATGGAAATCAATTTTTCGCAGATCATGTAATGCAAAATGTGCAGGCACGAATTTATCGCCTATAAATATTAGCAAGTAATTGAATGATGTGTACAAATACCCCTTTTAAATTACGCAGGAATTAAATTACATACCTTACTGTAGTAAAGCTTATTATCCTTGTGATACGGTAGGAGTGTTAGAATCTTAAAAACTACATCTTTTATCTGACATATAAATTCGTCCGACAAGCAATAACAGCCGCTTTTGTTCACCACAATTTCCTCCAAACATCCAAGTGCATGGAAATTGATTTCCGACCATGGATTGGACAACGGATTTAAATACTTCATCAACACATCCTTGTCCTTGAGTAACAAACGTACATGCTGAAACATCGAGTGGATGCCTGATTTTAATGATATAATTTGGCTCGACACTCTGTGTTTGCTGCCAGGGGAGAAACCTGCGTATACTAACATGATTGACGTCAAAGAATCCAAGGTGTAGAAAACTTTTTACAGCGATTAACACATCGACCTGTGCCAGCGGCTCAGAAAATTCCAACGCCTCCAGGATCCAGCGTTTGCAGGTCGCAAATGTCCGGCCGTGGAGCACGATGTTGCTTTGAGTTAGATTAAATAGAAATTTACAAAAGTTTCGGACTAAGGACGTTTCGTCAGGTAGAACAGCCGCGCAAAGTTGATTCACCAGCAATAACACCGCCTGGAAATACATTACGAGATTAATCAACGAATTGATAACAATAAGTTTGAGATGCAATTATTAACAACGTATTTTTAATAATAAACTAAAAAATATTTCTCACATTGTAATTTACAGTATTGAAGCATGTGTAATCCAGATCGTTGAGGTCGTTCAAATATGCATTGATCTGCTTCTTGTCGCTGGCCCTTGTACTGGTTAACGAGAGCAATCTCTCGATCAACGAAAAAAATTGTGTGGTATTGTCGCGATTTATGTGTAACGAGGCCATTATCACGTTCTTACATTACGTAATTTCGTTGTCTAGGACAGGATAAGTAACTTCGACGAATAATTTATAATTTGTGTATGTACATAACTACGCGACATTGCGCGCGACACTAATAATTATGTAAATTTAAAAAAAAACGATGTATACATCACTGTATGCACAGTACATACACTACATACAGTATTGTTGCGGCTCGACGAAACGAGCAGAAAAAAAGGAGACTAACCTATATATTGACAATACATGGCTCTTTTGGTTAGTATACATTTTTTCACGGTTCGCATCTCGGCTAGAACGCAAAGATCGTAACCTCTATAGGTCTTATCTACAATACCGACAGTTTCCTTCCAGAGCAAAGAAGCGGCAACCTGCTCTATTATTCAATCGAAATAAAAAATTTATTGTTTAAATCGTCACGATATATTGATGAATCTTGAACAATTTATTGTTACTAATCCTACAAAAAAATTTCAGACATTTTTACTCTAAAAAAATGTTGAAATTTGAAATTTTTATACAATTTTTAAAAATGTTTCGGAATAAAACAGTATTATTATATATTAACTTTTGCAAATTATTGTATGCAAATATTCTCGTGGATGTTATCATTTTAAGTACATATTATTGTAATCTCTTCCAATTATTACATTTCCAATTTCTTTGTTTCAGTATATGTATATAATTTGACAAATGGTTAAAACAGAGATAAATATAATACATATACTTAGATACATATACAGAGATAAATATAATATATATACTTTAGCCTTTGATAATTTGGCACTATATATGTCACATTCAAATTTTATCCACAAATATTTGACATATTTGGAATTGTAGCATTATTAGTATCTCTAGATTACAAAAGGAGACAGGTAAAATAAATTTTTAAATAGAAACACTTAAGTTTACAGTTTAAAAAGGTTACAGAATTTAAATTTTATTTAAATACACGTGATTTATACAGAAGAAATAATCTACATTGGTGAAGATTTCATTTAAATTTCAGTTGCCAAAAAAAAAAACGTTACTTATTCAGTAGTAATTTAAATCATTTTGTTCAATAACAACTCAAAGAGAAACATTAAAAATGTAATGTGTGTATGAAATACTGTACAACAATCTTAAATCACAGTTCTAATAATTTTAGAAACGTATGGCAACATGCGTTGAAATTATGATCCAAATGATCCAAATTATGATTCATTATGAATATCCAAAAGACTCATTGATGTACGGAATCAAGTTTTTCAGTAACTTGCATTGGTCAATACACACTGTCTGTGCCGACGCGGAACATCTAGAAACTATATTACATTACAGAAAAAAGGACAATTCATCGTGAAACTATCCCTTTGAATGCATAACATACGTAATTGCTTTCAATGACGTTAATAACTGCATACGAAATGCCGTTCTTCAATAATTGTCAATTGCAAACGTTAGGTATGCATGAAATGCGCGAAAATGAACGCTGATATACATTAATTATAAGCATATAAAAATGATTCCTGCATTCAATATCTTGCGCGAGAGATATTTTGCGATTACAAAAGAAGTAGAAAATATTTTTTTTTACGTGTACAAAAGAAAAATGATTAAGTAATTTAATGCGCATCTGTGTGCATGCATGCATATCACGTTTTTAATAGCACAGCTAACAATTTGGCAGTTGAAAAAGGAATGGTAACATTATCAAGTGGCATCAGACGCGAGAATCTTTAGAAAATTTTACACATATATAAGTGTTACATTCTGAGAACCTTGTGTGCTACCGCGAGTCTAGCGAATCCTCAAAAATCTCAACTTTCATCGCTCTATCAATCGACTCTCTAATTCTTTCTGCACTAGTCGTCATTAAACTGCGTGCCGATTAATTAATATACAATAACTGCATTCTCTAGTTTCGCTAAAGCTTTACCATCGTTTCATTTAAAATACATCACAACGATACGGTGTGTGTTACTCGTGAATATTCCCATCACTAAACGACATTACTCGTCGTCCAACGTAGCTGTTTGCACTTTTTTCTGCGTTCGCGGAATACGGAAATTTACGATTGGTTCGGTTGACAGGCCGCGTATATCGGTCTTGCCTTCTCCTTCGCCAAATCCGTGGCCTTCTTCGCCGCGTCCTTCACCTTCTCCGCTTTACCCTGCAACGAATGCTGCAGGTCCTCCGCAAGGCTCGGCTTCGCTGTCGCGCCGTCGTCCGTGGCGCTGCTGCTGTTGCTGCTGTGGCCGGCTCGCATGGAGAAACTCGTCTGGGACAATTCTGGATTTAAAAACTGCGTCGTGCGAGGAAACATGTTCGCGAGAACGTAGTTGAAGCCCTCCGACATCTTGACGCAATTCTTTTTAAATCGATCCAAGCCAAAGGCCTGTATCGCCCTGCTGAAACCAAAGACCTGACTGTCGATCCACGCCGATCTCTTCGCGACCGTCCACTCGGGATTCTCCTCGGAGATCTGATACACCACCTTCTCGACGATACTCTGTAAGAAATTATAATTCTGTCAAAATAAACCTGACCAACATAATCGATAATAATTAAAATTTGCTATTTCAAGACTATCAATTTCTAAATATTTTTAATGTGTAACGATCTAATAAATCAAAGAATCCGTAAACAAAAATTATTCTTACAAATTACGTATGTTCTGTAAACAAAATATTTTATCTCAAGGATGCAAATTAATTTATTTAAAAGGATTTTTCATGGAAATAAAACATCTTCACTTATGTCTCTATAAGAAATTATAATTCTTCAAAATAAACCTGATCATCCAACATAATCTTTAATAATTACAATCGCTCGCTATTTCAAGACTGTCAATCTCTAAATATTTTTAATGTTTAACGATTAAATAGATTAAAGGAATCAGTAAACAAAAATTAGTCTTACAAATTACGTATGTTCCGTAAACAAAATATTTTATTTCGAGCATGCGAATTTATTTAAAAATAGGACTTTTAAGAAATAAAACATCTTCACTATTTCTCTGTAGTTGATTTAAATTAGCCTACCATGACTTTGGTGTAACCCAAATTTCTCGTATAGGTAGTCAAAGTCTTCGCCTCAGAATCAACAATGCTCTCCTCCACGATCTTGACGATGTTTTTACCGATGAATCTCTCACCCCATTTCGGCACTTTGTTGGTTTTCGTCAGCAGTCGCTTGGAGTAGAGCTTTCCGTTTGTGACTTCTCTCGAGATCGTGTCCTCGGTGAGAACGTGCGAACTGAAGTGGAAAATCGTGTAAATGCGAGTTTCACTTTCCGTCTCGAGTAGCGCACATACACACGCACACACACATTCGGCGCTTATGTAATATTTGTGTTTCGACGACGCGCGTGATGTAACGCGCGTCCGGCTTACCTGTGCGGATTGGGATATCTCTGAAAGAATCCCCGAACGACCTGCGTCCAGTCGAACTTGAAGACCGTGATGTTTTCGTAATACTTCACCATCGTGCGGGGACGACGTGCTCACAAGTCCGCTTTTACTCGGCAAAAGAAGAAGGAGGGTTTTACGGGAGCTGAGAGAAGGAGAGAAGCGACGGTGACGCGCGCGGTGTCGCGCGAAGATCCTCGTCGAGATCGGCGCAGATTACCGCGACCGGCAACGGATCAGAGTCCGCGGCGAACACGCCGCTTCTTGTCGAACATAACGCGAATCGCGTATTTCACACACGCGCGATTACGTGCGCCACGGCAATGCACGGCGTGAATGGCGTGATAAGAATATACGGGCCCGGAATCAACGGAGACAGAGAAAGTCAGCTGTCACGTGTTGAATCGTTCGTCGAGACCATTGACGACGTATTATTAAAGACCGTCGACAATACGTGCGAATTTCTGTGATAAAATAAAGCGACGTTGTTGTCGTCGCAATGAATTTTATGATCGCCGATATTATAATTAAAGTACTAAAGGCGCGCTGATTGTTAAAATTTAGCTGATAACGTAAAAAAAAAACTTAAAAAAGCTGATAACATGTAATATTAAAGTACCTTTTCATGCGCTCGACGCTCCATTTTACCATCAAACAGATTAAAATTGCATTGATATTAATTAATTTTGATCACGTGATCTATTTTAGTGTTGAAAATGAGCGTCGAATGTCAAGAGGTATCTTTAATTTTATAATTTATATATTATATTATCTTGACAATTTTCGTAGATGTATATATTTAGGACTCGATTTATAGCTACTTTAATTAAAAACTGCAATTTTATTTAGGTTTTATTATCCACAGTAATAATGATTGTAGAAAAAAAAGTATAATATATATTTTTAAATTATAGTTTCACAGCAATTTTACTAAACCAGCCACGCTAACTCCTGTAAGGGTGTCGGTCTTTAATAATATATCTCGTCGGTAGTCACTCTCCGTCTTCAACAAGTATAGTGGCCAATAGCCGACGGGATCGCCGATTCGACGTATTTCCGCGTCGAGAGCGCCTCGGCGGATGTGCCGCGGCGCGTCTGCCGTCTCGCAGGTCCATGGCGCGGTAGCGTGGTCAACTTCCTTTCGTACGGTGCGAAAAAGCCGTGAGGTGCGTGCTGCATACCGCTGCGTGAAATAATCCACGAGCATCGGGTGTTTCGAGGGTTTCGGGGCCGCGTTTCGCCCCGCGTTCGCGATCGGCGTGCGACGCGATCTCCGCTCGCGCGCTTATGTTCGTTACCGCGTGTCCGCGGATGGTACTTGCTGACAGACGATCGCGGGGTTAACCTCTCCGGCCGGGCGCCCCCACGTCGCGTTCCGAAACGACCGGTCGCTCGGTCGTCGTCGGTCGCCTCGCGATTCCGTTCTCCCTCGAGACGTCACGCCACGTGGCGCGACGCCTCCCGGCTCTTCTTTCCCTTTTCCTGGACTGTAAATTCGTCTTGCATGCGACACGAGAGGTTATGCGACGGTCGTTGCTTCAAAGTGTTTACATCGTCAGCAAGGATTTATCTCGACGCGCGATTTGCTTTAGACGAAAAATAACGACACTAACGTTCTCTCGGTTCTACGGGAAAAGCTCGCTGGGATATAGCTTATGTTGTGCGTTAAGTTTGGAGTCTCTACAACAGTCATTTACATGTCTTGCTTTTTTTTTTCAGCATACACACCATCAAGATGGTGAAGATTATGAAAATAGGGAAAGTCGTGCTGGTCCTCAGCGGCCGGTACGCAGGCAGGAAAGCCATCGTCATGCGCAATTATGATGAGGGAACAGCGGAGAAACAGTACGGACACGCTATGGTTGCAGGCATCGACCGGTACCCACGCAAAGTCCACAAGAGGATGGGCAAAGGCAAGCTGCATAAACGTTCTAAAATCAAGCCTTTCGTGAAGGTGAGTCTGCGCTTATTTCTAGCAAATTCTATTTAGAAATCTTGAATTTAAAACTTTCTATTGTGCAATCTTTTATCTTTTGATATTTTTGTTATACGTGTATCGATTGCACCTCTTCTCATTTGTTTACAAAACATTTCAGATCCTAAACTATAATCATTTAATGCCAACGAGATACACAGTGGATCTACAGTTGGAGAAGGTGGCCCCTAAAGATCTTAAGGACCCAATGAAACGCAAGAAGGTTCGCTTCCAGACGCGCGTCAAATTCGAGGAGAGGTATGTAATCTGATATTCTTCCGCCGCTGCAAATTCCGATTGCGTCGCACTCACAATCGATATCTAATTCTCGAACGTCGTTTTTTTCAGGTATAAAAACGGTAAAAACAAGTGGTTTTTCCAGAAATTAAGATTCTAATTGTTTCTAAATAAAAGTCTGATATACAGATGTAAAAAGAAAAGGTGAATACAATTTTTTCCGTCACTTTATCCTATGTAAAAGAGATATACTGAACCTTTATACATATATATATTTTTATCATCTATTTTATTTGACTTTTAGCTTATAATCTGAACTTACACTTAAGTTATACTTCATAACTCTCGTTAAACTCTCCTGCCATCCGTATCCATATATGAAGTGTTCAATAAAACTTGTAAGTTTTTTTAAACTGAAATTCCAGCTTTATTTTAATTTGCGTGTTTTATATCATATACGAAGTTATGTTTCTTGCGTTTGTGCATTGGTATATCTAAACGATTTCAGTAGGCTCCTGTTATTTCAGTGATTATCGTAAAAATTAAATATATAATACTAGTAGGATATTTAAGAACTGTGATCTGTGGTATGAAGCAAAATATATAGAATTTATATGAATAACATTAAATAAACAGTTTAACTCGATGGAGGTATAAATGCTCCGAGTAAAGCGATCTTTATCTTATAAATCAACCTAATTGCGCGCTTTAACTAGATCCACTACCTCTACTTTCGCGATTTGTTGAGTTTTTTGATACGCTCGTCGAGCAACGCTACGTTGCTTTTTATAACCTCCATGTTAGACGCAAAACTTTCCTGCACTCCCTTCAGCAGAGACTTGTTGCTTTCTAGTCCCGACGAGATTTCTACTTGCAGTTCCTCTAATTTTATTAGAGATTTACTGAAGGCAGCGGCTGAAATGCAACGTGTTCTTTTAGAATGTTTTTTTTTTTTTTAAGACGAGCACACAACATTCGTCATCATTGAATAATCGTACCTTGCTGATGAATGTCACTCAGTGCCAATAACCTTTCTACCGTTTGCGGTAGAATTTGCGATATAGCATCCGTTTTCTTCATTATTTCATACATCTCCGAGATCTGCAAGAGAGAAATGTGAAATAAGTGATTCCCATTACGCAAGATATTCATAAATTCGTAAATGTTAATTTTAACTCTTGGTCGACTTGTTTCACCTTTTGCTCTTGCTCCGATTCCTGTTCCGTCGTTGCCCTCTTCTGCGCGATACTGTCCATCCGGTAAATCAAAGTGCCTAATCTCGTTTCGATGGTGTCCAATTGATTGACATCTAACAACGAAGCCTTCGCCTCCAGTTGCTGCACGGCTTCCATTACGCCCTGACACTTAAGATTCTGTGAAAAAAAAAAGGAAGTCGTAAATCTCGAAATGCATATGCATGGAGAAATTATGATGAATACCTACCTGCGAGAATTTCGAAAGCTTGTCGTTACTCGTTCCTATGATATTCTCCAGACAGCAAAGTCGCTGCTCCAGCTCTGCGATCCTAGCGGCTTCCTGCATCCTCGCCTTTTCCGGTAAGTACATCATCTGATACTTAAGGACACCAGGCTCGGCTGGCTCGTTTGTCTTTTTACTCCCCGATGATTTGGTCGAAGGCACGCTGGTCTGCTTGAACAATTCTATCTGCGACACCAGTTGTCTGTAACATTAAAACATCATTTTATAGTACAATTTTGATCCAATGGAAGAAAAACTTGTTACAATTTATACGTAAAGCGGCGTCAAAAAAATTAAGTCTAAGATTTAAGAAAATTGATCAATCATAGTTGGTTATTCATCTCATGTGAGAATAATCGATTGTGGCTGGTCAATTTTTGTAAATCTCAAGTCTCAGATGTAGATGTTGCTTAACAAATTTGTAGGTTTTCAGTTCTACATACTTAAGTATAGTGCCTTGTGGATCCGACAGACTCGCAACTACGTCAGGCCCCAGACACTCTTCCAGCTTCAGAGAGACCAACTGTTTCTCTATCTGCCGCGCCTGAGAAATGATCTCGCTCGCGGATTTGATCTCTTCCTCGTCCTTGGATTTTTCCTGCGTACACCCAATGTGCATTAATGTTACTGCGAATAATACTACAGAATAATCTTGGAGATTTTTTTATTGACAACAACAGCAGTTTACCTTTAACTCGTTCACCTCTTCGTACAATTCCTTGACTTCGCATTGCAGTCGTTGGAACTTCTGCAGAGGAGTTTCCTTCTCGCCCTCGCCAACGAGCTCCCAATCGCCGAATCTGGAAACGTTATGTGTTACATATATATCGTTCTTATATACGCCTGATATTGTTAAATACTGAAAAACAGCTCGTACTTGTATCCCGTCCTTGGCTTGTTGGACAGACGATCTGAGAAATCAACCGGCTTCCCGACGATCTGCTTGCCCTTAAACTTGTTGAACGCCTCCTTGGCACTGATGTGCAGCTGCTCCACGCAAGAGCTGTCCGGTTCATCCTGAACGAATTGATCGCCGATTAGTTGCGATAAATTAATTACGCACAAATGCAGATTCGATGGTGTTTTACCTCGCAGTACATCCGCATCTGCTCCGATTCCGGCAAATCGCTCGTCTCGTAAACGTCAAGCTGGTCGTACGCCTAGGGCAATAAATGCAAGTGTTGCACGTACAACTGTATTTATTCGCGCGAGACAAACGCGCAAGGATATAAAGAGGACTTACAATTCCGGGTAAATCAGCGTATTTAGGATCCGCCATTCTCTTGCCTCTGATTTCGAAAATCGTTCGGAAATAATGCAGAGTGTTGCGCCAGCGAACTTTTGACTAAGGTATCCGTTTTTGACATATACTCCACGATCATGTGTGTGTGTATGTGTCATGTGCGGAGCAGAGAGTGGACGCGCTCGCATTTTAGGTGGAGTTCGTTTACTAGCGCCCCTGGGTGCACAAAATGTGTACAAACTTATAAATACCAGAGAGGTATAAGTATGTTGGTAAATCATTATTTGGTTCGCATCTGTGCTAGACCCACTTTTCGAGAGAATGCTGGGGCTTTATTCTTGAAAAATTGCGCAGTCGAAATCCTCTCGCAAATGTCCTCTCTCAGATTACGAATATTTCCGGCGAATAATTCGCAGTCTTCGACTTTGTTCATGTATATATAATTGTTTCGTTATATGTATATACTATACATATATACGTTACGACACGTGTAACAAGAATTATATAAAAGTTATTAATTTTTCTCAAAATATATATATTATACATAAGCGATATTAGATATATTATCATTCAATATATAATGATTACAGGATCGTTTTTGTACATTTACATTTACACAATCGTATTTTTACGTGACCAATTAATCGTTATTTTATGATCGACAGTGAAAAATTTATACATGTTAATTATTTTTCAATTTTTGCAACGTGAAAATTAAAAAATGTGTATTCGTACAGCAAATGTGAAAATCGAAAAATTACCTGTAAACTTCTCACTGTCGAATAAAATAGTGATTGTTATTTCAGTACTGCCAAAATGATTGGTAGTACTGAGATAACAATCACTATTTTATTCGACAGTGAAAAGTTTACAGGTAATTTTTCGATCTTCACATTTGCTGTACGAATACACGTATTTTTTAATTTTCACGTTGCAAAAATTGAAAAATAATTAACATGTATAAATTTTTCACTGTCGATAATAAAATATAACGATTAATTGGTCACGTAAAAATGCCAAAATGATTGGTAGTGTCATATATTCTTCAATTATCCCCGGGCCTACTTGACTTGACGAAAATTTACCTTTCGTCTTTGACCGGCCGTCTTTTTAATAATAGGTACCTCGTCGGTGATGATACGCATAATGTATCATTTTATCCTTACTTAACTATGTAGTGAATATCAAGAATAAAACGATATATCATCATGTATAAAACGAAACGAATGTACTCTCTATACTATAGGTA